TCCCCCCCCCCTCTCTTTTCTCTACCCTGCCCCCTCCCCCCTTCCTCTCTCTCTAACTTGTCTGACTGTCTGGCCATCCTCCAGGAACGTCGCAAGTTTGGACCTCTGGGCTGGAACATCCCCTACGAGTTTAACTCTGCTGACTGGGGCGCCAGTGTACAGTTTATACAGAATCATCTGGACGACATGGACCTTAAGAGGGTGAGTGAAACATGCACACCGACGGGTACGCTGTCTCAGGTCTGGTGGTGGACCCAGGGAGGGAGGGGAAGGGGGAGGGAAGGGGGAGGGAAGGGGGAGATGAAGACATCGATAAATTGTTTGTGAGAAAATGTCCATGACTAACAGACGCACAGGCAACAAACAGAAAATGAAAGAGACGATGGACAAAGAGAAAGATTATCAAAGAGGGTGAGATGAGAAAGAGGTATTTGTGACTTACTTTAGTATCAAGCGCTCATCCAAACACATACACAGACTCACACAAACGCGTGCACACACACATACACACACACACACACACGTACACATACACACACATACACACACACACACACACACACACTTACATGATACAAACACACACGCTCACACATGCTCACTCACACCAATGTACATAGAGAAAGGGGGATAGGTGGAGAGAGTAAATATGAACAGAGGTAGAGAGAGAGAGAGAGAGAGAGAGAGAGAGAGAGAGAGAGAGAGAGAGAGATAAAAAGACCAAGTTGTATATCTCTCAGCCTGGTCTGACTTACAAAGAAAACAGGCAAGAAAGGAGCAGCCTACTTTTTTAATGGTCTAAATAGTAGTGAATGGGAACAAAATTTTGAATTTTATGAAGGCCATTGGCCTTTATGGCAAATTGTAAAGTAAAACTGTACTATTTAAGATTTTTATATGTTAACTAGAAAAAATTGTTTAAGATTGAAAATATATGTATATTTACCATGATTTTTAAACATTTTAAGATTTAACTACTGACTCAGCCGTACAGCGAACTGTTGTGAACAAGACCAACTTGTGTTTCGCGCGCTCATATGACCTTACGCAGTTGCGAGCGCCGTACAACCCTATACTACTAACTAATCTATCTATCTGTCCTCAGGGCATATCCTGGCCGACGGTACGCTACATGATCGGCGAGGTCCAATATGGCGGACGTGTCACAGACGACTACGACAAGCGACTCCTCAACACCTTCACACGGGTACGACGATCGCGTCTATGGGGACTTTCTCAGACAGTTCTTTGCCTTAGAATTACAAAGTTCTATCTGACAGTTGTGGCCGTTTTGAGTTACGAAGACCATGAGGTCAGAAACCAAATGTTCAGTCTGGTGTATCAAAATCGTAAGATTATTCCGAGTCATTATCAATATCAAGATATAACAAGATCTCGAAAGAGCTTGAAATGTTGTGAAACTCAAAATTTTAAATGTCAAATTTCTCAAAACCAAGTATTGAGCAGATAGATCTAGAACTTTTAGAACTTTGTAATTCTAAAATAACGACTTGTCTTTTGCTTCCGTCAATTGACCCGTTTGAAAGATGTGTTTACTTTAAATCAGTTTAATCCATTATTGTTTTAAAATGTTTCATCTATTTACTTTTTTAAAATGTATTTATTTGTTATTTGAACGGTTTGGGGGAAAGGCGGGGGTGTTAGTAATTACATACCTGAACATACTATGCTCTGATCAACAGGAGTGATACACTACTTCGATGGATTGTATTTCTGTCCCTCCAGTTTCATGCAAAAAAATTCTGAGATTATGCAAACTGAGCCCAACACTGTGAAATGGTGCGATTCTGTTAATTTTAACTAGATCTAAGAATGATAAAAGGAAATAATCAGAAATTATGCAAAAATGATCTAATTTTGCTAAATTATGCAGGGTGCATAAAACCCCGGGGACAGGTATTTGCTTTGCTTTCTTTCTCCATTCTTTATTTCTAGATATTCCACTCTAGCTGTCTGCATGTGAAAGGATATAATTTTGTCATTGTGCCTGAGCTGATGTTAGGCTCAGACGCTAGAACACGCTGAGATTGTTGTGAGAAGTTTGTCCTCCGGATTACCAGTATGTTGTTGTGTGAGGCAAATGCCATATCCACCCTCTCGAGCTCATCTTACTTTGTTGACGAAATGAGCTACATTGTGTTGAAGAGGGCGTAACATATTGACAGTAATGATTCGGTGCATCCGTGCCTCCCCCACCCCCAGGTCTGGTTCGGAGACTTCATGTTCACCGACACCTTCCAGTTCTACAAAAACTACAAAATCGCGCGCATGCGCAGCATGAATGACATTTTGGAGTTTATCGAAGCTCTGCCACCCGTCGACTCGCCGGAGGCTCTGGGACTTCACCCAAACGCCGACATCACGTGAGTTTTTTTTTTCTTTCTTATTTTTTTTTGGGAGGGGGGGGTGTTAGGGTATGTGTAGTTGTGTGTGTGGGGGGGGATATCCCGCTAGTAGTTGGGGGGGGGCAGTTTTGGGGAAAACGTGTGCAGATGTCATCGGAGACCCCTGTTGCTCTGAGATCCCGTGAGTAGTAGAGAAAATGATGAAATGATGTAATATAGTTGTCCGATTTTACATCCTGTTGAAACAGTTTGGCATTTTGATGAAAAGTAGTCTTTATTTTGCACTTGATGAACAGTAGTCATTATTTTTTTCTTGATGAAAAGTTGTTATTATTTTACTCTTTTTGAAAAGTGATCTTTGTATTACTCATTATACTGCTCTAGCCTGCTGTCTGTCAAGTATGATCTAACAAATCACTCTGTTAGTCACCAAGACGACCACCCTCGCCCCCTTCCCACACCCCCACCCCGAACACAAAACATCTGTTGTCCTGTGGCTGAGATTCCCCTTTGCCTCAGCCAAACGTCCCCCCCCCCCCTAATCATGTAATGTACAACGATAGTTTCCCCCTGTCTGATCAGCTACCAGACAAACACGGCCAAGCAGGTCCTTGACACTATTGTCAGCATCCAGCCCAAAGACTCGAGTGGAGGGGCAGGGGAAACAAGAGAGGCTGTCGTGTACCGCCTGGCAGAAGAGATGTTGGGCAAACTTCCCGCTGATTATATCCCGTGGGACGTAAGGGATATTTTTTTCTACGCCCCCC